TATATACCTGAATACTTAATGTTGTCAAATTAATCATAAAAATAAAACGTTTATGCCTCGTAATCTTCATTAAAACCAGGAATTAAAGGATTCTCCCAAATTTCCTTCGTCGCGTCGGTAGAGTGAAAATTTTTAATTCAACACTCGCAAAGCCTACTTTTCATGTTCATTCGTGAGGTTAATTTATGTGCACGGGGATTGGATTCTAGTTACCATATAATATTAAATAAATGTACTCGTATTCGAGTTTCAGAAACCTTTACGATTATTATTTTTTACTGCTTTTATGACATTTGTACCGGTCTATTTCGTAATAGTCATGTTTCGCAATGTTTCACATAACTTCAAAATATAATACAAATATTATTTAACATATAAATTTTGCTACCAAATAAATTTTAGTAACGGCTAGAATGGCGTGATAGTAAAAAGGATTTCTTTTGATGCAATGTTATGTTATGAAAGATTTGTCATTTGATTTTTTTCGATACTGCCTAAGAAATCACCTACACAGTAGTATCGTATATTATTATAGCATATAGTGTGGCATATTATGTAGGATTAGATATATGTTATATCACTAATTGTAATTATTTTCTTTTCACAAGTTATATAAAAGTTAAACATGTATGTATTAACACCATCTATTCAATGAAAACTAAGATTTTTTTAATATTATGAAATCTGTTTCATGGAATGCTGTTGAGAGAAAATTGTCGTTAAGATAATTCAGACCGGTGAACTGATTAAAAACTTATTATTAAATTGCTGGCTTCCTTTTCGAGGTTGTTTATCTTTCAGCACTGCATTTTACAAATTATGGTAAGGACATCTATAAATATGAAATACGAATCTTGTTTGATTAACATTCAATGCTAAAGGTGCAATGCCAGAGTTGTCGTCTGCTCTACAAATAGAACGTTCTTGATCTACTGTGACCTATTTACGATTGTTTAGATAGGTAAAAGTTTTACAGCTAATAATATATTTGTGCAGATGTGGTAATTTTGTGAAATGCATTCAAATGATTTTTTTTTATTAAAGAATAGTATTCGAATCGTAATCGAATGGTAAACGGTATATTTTGGAAATAGCTTAGAAATGTAAGGTTACATAATTAATACAAGTTTTGAATCATTCGGTTGATTTTTATATTATATTTAATTATATTATTAATCTTGATCTAGGTAGGTCTTTAGGAGTTAGTGGTCCTGACTGCAGAAATAGTAACTCCCAACCAGGACAAACAATTGTGTGATGATCGTTTCTTGTGTGTCTGCGAGTAACTTATTTCATTGATTTATTTTAATTCTTTATGCACAAGTATGAGCTGTACATTTGTTTACTTAATGCCACAGGCATTTTCTCCCAGTCTACCTTAGGGTGGTGCTGAAATGTATGACTAGGTGCACAAGACATTGGATATGTAAAGTAAAATAAATTATTGATAACTTAGACAGAAACAATGCGATAAATATACATACATACCAAATATATCTATAATATGAATGTATTTAGAAAAATATAAGTGTGTTTATCAGCAGTCTGGTTACCATAGTCTCTACCCAGTTTGCCATCAGATGAACGTGTGATGTGTGAAGTTGTTATTAAAAAGTCTGGTCGCTAACGAAATATTTTAAGAGTCTTAAAAAATAAAAAGCTCGATAAAACCTACGCCCTCTCCCTTTTTATCTTTATAAATCAGTCATTTACTTGGGATAAATTATGTGAATCAAACTCAATGGTATAAAATAATATATTATAAACAGAGAAAGTTTAATTATATCCCTTTCATATTATTATTATTTTTGGTTATAGAAATTCTTTAAAATTTTAAAAGGCTTACAATAGTATTTTAATCGAAAACAATATTAATTGCAATACAAGCGCAGTTCCATTCGTAATCAAGGCGTGCATTTCCTGGATTATATATCAGAGCCATGTTAAATGACGACCGTTCATTTTCAATGAAATCACACGATTCGGCGATCACAACAATACCTACTACAGTTTTATTTTAAGCGGAAAATCTTTTGCCTTCATATGACTTTTAAATTCAGCTTGTTTTAACCCATATAAATGTTTGTTTTCTGATAAATGTAATGTTATAAATATAAAAAATATATGTAAATATTTTGTTCACATTTTAACTTTTTGTTTTCATATTGTAACATACAAAATGTTAATTCATTATTATGATTAATAAAATGCTACTCAAACGACTAATATTTATAGAATTTTGGCAAAAAACCACACTATTTTTAATCATTATTTTTAACTGCCTGACTATTAATCTTTTAAATATAAAAAAATAAGGGGGCCATTTTCTATATATACAGATGTAGACTAAACAGTGACAAGTATACAAAAACATTTGTCTAAGTTTATCGGAAGGAGCGCATGCTATGAAATTATTTCAATGTCATAGGTTAGAAATGTAAAAACATACGATTACAATTCAAATTTTAAATGATAACTCTTAGTGGTTATTGAATCTGAGTACTAAGCAAAGTACTTAGCAGTTAGGATGAGCACGGTTATTGTCCTGTGTCTGGGCCTAATTTATTTATAACATATATATAAATTTGTATTTAGAAGTATAAAAATATGTTTGTCAGCAGTCTGGTTCCACCAATTTTTGGATCAGATGACCGTGTGAGATATGTGGAGTTATTGTTATTAATATTTGGCCCATAATGATTCCCTAAAATAGGTCAGGGAATTAGGCATAGGTGATAAAATAGTACTTTGAAACAAAGACTTTGGAGCACCGTTTATGTAGGTTAATTTTGGTAAGGTTAATTTATTAAGGAAAGCAAAACTTTGTAAAAACAGAAACAACATTGTCTAAAGATAGACTCCAATTAGATTTCTTAATAAAGGACCTTCTAGAAGAAATCCAAATTTACTCCTTCATTTAAACTTGAGCGTTCAAGTTATTCCTTAATCACGGTGCTTTTAATTCCTTTATTTCTTTACCCACGCCCTTTATCGAACATTCTTGATAAGTTTTCTAGTTAACACTAACAAACAACTTCTTGGATCGATCGCTGTCCGGCTCATAATGTATTAACACTTATTGATTATATGTCACATACAATGTTCGACGTCACTACCTGTAAAATGAATTTTATTCTACTGTAAAGGTCAGTTATGAATATTGGGGTCTTACAACACTGCATTCAAACATAACAAACGAATACAACTTGCTTAGTTTCTTTTTGAAAGTATTTTATTGTTTGGGAGCAATACGTGTGTGCATTGATTTCATCTTCACTTTCACGAAGACGTTCATTGTAAATTTACCTATACTCATCTGAATAAAACGACACATAATATATTTATACTAGTGATGTGCCGGATATCCGTATTCGCGGATATCCAAGGGAGAAGAGAGATCCGTAACCGTATCCGTGTTAGTCCAGAAGAAAAGTTGTTGTTTATAATGTTACTAATATGCACTTTAGAGATTTTCAGTTAATTTAAATTTAACCCTGAATAATGGTTATTAGGTAGCTATGAAAAACTATTGAATTCTGTTCAGATTACTTTTTATTTCTTAAAACAAATATTTGGCACCTTTGTATTGCAATCATTTATCGTACTACACTAAATCAACTAGGCAGGTCGTAGGTACTGAAAGAGCTATCTTTATAATGAAATCAATCAAACATATTTGTATTAGCTTAATAAAATAATTCATTATTTTATTATACCCACGATTTGAGTTTTATGAACTACTATTTACTTCACATGCATGTCTGTTCTTGCGGTAAAAAATAGCCTATATCCTTTCGCAAAAATCATACTATCTCTATACTAAATTTCATCTAAATCTTTTCAGCGGTTATTGATTCCCCATACACACTTCGACCCCCCTTTTTGACCCTTAAAGGCTGATTTTTGAGATTAAACTAACTTATGTCTTTACACAGGACTCAAACTAACTCTATATCAAATTTCATCTAAATCGGTTTAGCGCTTTAAGCGAACGCAGACAGACACTTTCACATTTATAATATTAGTAAGAATTGCTTGCAGCACCGCGGACTGGATACGTCATGAACTGTATTAAATATCGTGTCAAGCAAACGAGCCTAACTAATTACTGATGCAAGGGACGCTTTGGTTGGAAAGCAAGCACCTCATAGTTACGTCATTTATCAGATATCAGCTCACGAGTTCCATGTGCAATATTAATTGGGCCTAAATACCCGTTAACGTGTCAATATTGTTTGATAGTCACGTTCAAATGGTGGCAATAATTGAATGGGGCACAATTGTTGACACAATCTCGCTCGTATTAATCCTGAACGAGACATTATTAGCATACACTCGATGAATCTGTATGCGGTTACTATTATTTGCGGTGTAGGTAGGTAGGTAGGCTATAGAATGAAGTAATATAATATTATGGCGACGTTGTATTTAATATTGTTAGGTATTAAAATAGAGATGATACATTAGAGTAGTAGAAAAAATGACTTTCGAGTTCTCTTACACTGAAGAACTAAACACATTCGGTATCAAAGACGAAAAGGATTGAAACACTACTGCCGCACTAGAATCGTAGTTACGATGGACTTTATAAACATATTTGTACAATTAACGGACACAATGCTCTATTTTATGTAGTATTATATATTTAGCAGGACTATCCTGAAATAGCTTTAGACTGTTAAATTTCTTGTACGTTTAGAAATAAAATTTTAGGCGGTTATTATGTTGGTAGGTTGTGTGGTGAAAGAAAACCTTGTGATTTCTTCAACTAAACAAATTGTTCAAATTGCTTATAGTACTTAGTAATTAGAATCTTTCACCGTTAGGATGAGTTGGAAAGAAAACCTAATGTAAAAATAATGCGAAATCCTGTTTTGAATTTATAGTATAGTATAGGAAATTAATTGTAGCCAGCACCTAACTATAGAGTAAAAAACAGACATGTATTAACGGTTTTACTACAGACGTTTTATAGATTACACGAGTTATTTTATACTCACTAAGAGCAATATTCGCTTGTTTGTTTCTGTCAAGCTGTCCCCGTAGCGCCCGTAGCCGCCGTAACTTGAGCTCCTGTGCCTCTACGCGCTCACGTAACCGTCGTAGACGCTCACCTTCTACCGCCACCTACGAACATGATTATTAAATAATTAAGGGCTACGAAATTAATTTAAGTATTGATACATTATAAACTATAAGAATTCAATAACATCCTAATTTATTTCTATATTAAAAAAAAATACATAATAGCCACTTTCAACCGGTGTTTTGAAAAATCTATAAAACAAACATAACAAGTATTCTACATCACATAATTTGAAAACCAATGAGAAAATACTATTTTAGGTTAGTTGCACTTTTCCCTATAATAAGCCTTTCCCATAACTTCACCATTCGTCGTTAAATCTATTAAATAAATAATATTGTGCCACATTCACACAACGCCATCTAGTCCCAAACTAAGCAGAGCTTGTACTATGAGTACTAGACAACTGATATAAATACATATATACTTTTTATTTGTAAATACATACTTATTATACACAGAAATACCTAGACCAAATCAAACATTAAATGTTTATGCACACAAATGTTTGACTTGAGCGGGAATCGAGCCCGCGACCTTTGGAATAGCAGTCCGTTACACAAACCACTACGCCATTCGGTCGTCAAGATAACTTTCATTTGATTTAATTATATTATATAATTATAAGAGCGAATAAATAATGTATCAATATATCCTAAAGAAGGTAAATAAAACGAGAAATATTATGAATACATAATTAAATCTGAATAAAGCTGGCGGTGTAAATATTTTTGTTTATTTTGTATCCGTACCTATTGCGTCAGAAGAGTTTATTTCTATAAGGGAAGCGATAAATATCGCATTAAGCTAACACCCGTACCGTCCAGCCTGGTAGATTTATTAAGACCGGAGAATATATTTTTTTAATTTCTTATCTTATCACAATTTCTCCACAATGTTTCGCCTTTTTTCGTGATACAAAACTTTTTTGGCGTTTATATTGTAACTGATAAGTAAATAATTTGAAACACAATGCACTTTTTTACGTTGTTGGGACGATGGCATTGGAATGATAGTTATTAATTCAACTTCGTAACTTTAATGAACTAAGTTGTCATTAAACTTACATATTACATGAATATAATAATATAATGCAACTATTTTTTTTCCCTTTAAGTAATTATACCATATAAGTATTTGGTGATAACATTATATATTGGCTTTATATTTTTACAATCATCATCATCTCAGTCGAAAGACGTCCACTGCTGGACATAGGCCTCCCCCAAGGTTCGCCACAACAATCGGTCCTGTACTGTAGGCATCCAACGGCTTGCCGCGACCTTCACCAGGTCGTCAGACCACCTTGTATAATAATGAAATACTTTTTTGTATGGGTAGGAATTAGTTTGGAAGAAAAAAAAATCAATTCACAATAAATTTTGGTATATATCGGAGCAACTACAAAACTGCCTCACTTAATAAAAATAATTTTATTAATTTAAATTAGATTCTAATGGATTATAATTGAAGTGTTGATAGTTAGTGTTAAGAAATAACCTGAAGAATCATGTTATCTAATCTTAACAAGAAAATATAACACTTAAACTAACAACATGTAAACACGTGCGCGAACAATGCGTCCTATAAAAACGCAATGCGCGTACTCGGTCGTTCTCGTTCGAGCTGTCAGGCTGTACGTATCTATGTACGACTGTTGGTAAGAGCTTGGTATACATTTTTAACTGTATTTACTGTTCTTGTTATTTACTACAGCTTTTACAAAAGAAAACCACGACAATATTAAGAATGACGTTCTCTAGATTGTCGTATTTTTCCTTTACTCTATTTAAGAACAACCCAGACATCGGTCCTCCGTCATATAAAACATCCAAAAAAAAACAAGTCTTAACTGCGATGATATTTATAAATTGGCCCAGAGAAGATCTAAACTGTTAAGTAGATCAAAATAAAATACTGTTACTAGTGTAACTTCCTGAGAATTGTCTTTAATGATTTCGATCAATTACAGAATTTCGACTTTTAAGTTTCAAAGCTTTTATTGTAAGAAAATAATAATATTGAATTTGATAACTAAGTCTAAGTCAATTAGGAACTGAAAACAACTCGGACTTTAATTGTGAATAACAGTTATCACAAAAGTAATTCAAAAACTTCGCTACAGAAGTCGTAATTGAGAACAAAGAATTTTTATTTTACTATGGGTTCTCTTAAACTTCATTATAAATTCTGTTTTCTATTAAGAATTATTTAGGCCCTTTTAAGAAATTTACAGCTTTATTTTAAAATTTATTTTTATTTATTTTGAAATAAAATTTTATTTTATTTCGTTCTAAGAGAATTATTAATAAATATTATTAATTAAACCATGATGAGAAGTCGTAAGTCATTAAAGTATATTATATTTGTAGTCTGTAGCAATACTTTAGCTAGATTTTTAGCATCCTTAATTAATTATTTATTGATTACTAGGTAAAGCATACTGAAAATACAGATTTCTTCTCATAACTTTAATTAATATGACAAGTTTTCAATAGTATCAGATATAGTTGTTTACAGAATTTCGACTTTTAAGCGACCTTCAAACCTTCAAGAAAAGAGCGTACTCCTTCCTAAAAGGCCGGCAACGCGTTGGTGACTCCTGAGTTGCAGACGTTCGTGGGCGGCGATGGTCACTTTCTATCAGGTGACCCGTCTGCCACCTCTAACATACAAGAAAACAATATTGCAGCGTTATTTACCACGCAAGTAAAACCATCAACCGTGGTAATGGTACACCAGTGAGACAAGTTAAACAACTGTAAAGAGTGGTTTTTAAGTCGCGAAAATCCATCACCGTCTGTGGTTAATACAATTGTAATGCTACGTAACATCTATTTGACAAATAGCTTCCGAGATTGAAGTTTTTTCAGTTCACAACTTTAGTATTAACGAAAAAAATTAAACATTTTATAATTACTTGGAGTAATTAAGGAATTTCAATTAAATAACTGACGTATAAATACACCAAAAGCACGTGAATAATGATGAAAAAAGTAAATTAAATGTTTTTGGTGTACATAAACGAAATTGAAAGTGTGTTTGATCTACGAAAAGTTGATTGATCACACTGTGTGCCCCCAAAATAGGACCTCACACACTTCGTTATTTTAACCTTGGAATATTTTGTAGGCGAGCGTGCTGTTACTTGAAAGGTAAAGTAATTGAATGGACATTTAGAGCATCTACCTACTGTTTGTTCTCCAATAAAGAGTATATTGCGTAATTCAGTGCTCTCTCCAAGGATATTAAAATGGGGCGCAATGGTGCGGCAATATTAGAGCTATACCTACATCAGAGGACGCTTTATTTTTTTATCTCCTACTTTTGGAATTCACTTTTTAGTGGTAAGTATAAAAATATTACCAAAATCGATCTAAGTGGCGTGCAATGGGAGAGGCCTATGTCCAGCAGTGGATTGCGATAGGCTGATGATGATAAAAGTATTGTTCGTTTTACAAGTAACACGTACTGGACGTATCATACAGTTTAATTTGGATTTACTACATTACTACAAATGAAAAAATACCGAATATATGTAAACAAATCAAACCAGACAAGGTTGAAAATTTGTACCGGAAAGTATAAAGGAAAACGGGTTAAACATCGGTACATAAAAAGTAAGTGACTGTCTTCAAAAATATTGTTAAAATTGAGACGTGGACAGTCAGTGGTTCAATTTTTTCCATTCTATTGTTACATAAAAAAAATGTTGTTGATGTTGTTCAGTAAAATAGTAGTAAATACGGCACTACGGAAATGTCACAAAACCAGCGGACTTTTTCAGAAAATGGTATAATATTTATTTTTCACATGCACTGAATTTTAAACCAATACCTATCAAAATAGACACGGAAGAGGATAGTCACTGAAGTGTTTTGTATTCAATAAACTGCCGAGCTATTCGTGCGACAGCGCTTTGATAACAGCGTCTTCGGAGACTATTAAATTTCACTACCGCTGAGTCTTACTTTCACAAATTGAATCCATCAAACATTCAATACAAAGCAATCTTGCGTCTACCATATCTTTCTTGAAAGATATAGCGCATTACTTTACTTTCTTTATGAAGAAATGCTCTATGCATTAGTTTAGCAATTGCAAAAGTTTTTCTTAGATTTATATCTCTCTGAAATAATAACTATCCCTATAGTTGAATAATGTTTATATGAAAGCGTAGTAGGCCAGCAAACAGTAAGGATAGTAACCAAGCTACTGACGCACCGTCATCAAATTTATATAAAAAGGTCAACATTAGCCTGCCCTGCACCCCCTTTTTTGTTTTTCGTTACGGAAATCCCCTCGGATACCGCCCACCGGTGGCTATTTCGGACTCGAACTGACTACAAACCGCACGCCGTCTCAGGTACCAGTAGCCGGGAATCCAGGTGTATTCTAGAAAGGAACAGGGATTTCCCCAGGGAGTACCCCGACTTACCTCAGGCCATCTACGGCGGGTAGATGACCCCCTCCTGTGTGGGCACCCCCATGTTCCCTTTGTGCTCCCGAAAGGGTGCGCGCGCTCTGGAGTTACGTTGCAGGCAAGGACAAAATTTTGCAAACAGTCCGAACAATTTGAAGTTTGTGAATCGGTTAGATGTTTTGTTAATTTGAAAATCAAATATTATACTGTTCATGATTAAAGGTATTATTTATTGAATTTAAAAAGAAAGGTTTACTATAATTAGAAATGTCTACAGTTTCATTTAACATTCATAAAATCGATCCAAAATATATGCTTAACAGTACTTAAAACTTATTTAGTTCTATATTACACATTATTTTGTAATAATGATGATAAATCGTTAAATTATAAAAACTTCTGTTTTTTTTCAATTTATTTTGAACACAATCTCTAGATTTTTGTTGTTTTATATTTGGTGCATTATACTAGTAGGTAAAACAATTAGTATGCAACATCATAGCTCCCGCTTATCGGTATTCCTTATGCATTTTGATAGCGGAGCGAGCTCAGCAACGAACTTTGGCAAAATTCCTTAAAAGTGCTAGTTTTATTGTGAGAGAGAACACAATATTCTGTTCAGTCAGCCAGCAAACAGTATAAGCAAGTACATAATTGCATGATAAGTTATAACATGCTTAGGATTACTCGGAACGATCATATTGTCCTTATCTTTTACCTAATTTGTTTTTAGATATAATAAAATAGATAATATTTAATGTGGTCGTCCATATATTCAGTCATTTTATTCACATTTTAGTTAAAACTGGCCGAAACCGAAATCGAACCTTCAGTCTGTCACTAAAAAAATGTGAGGCTTTTTTATTTAATTTAATTATTATGTCATGAATAAACTCTAACAATTTTGACCTTGCGTAAAACCATATTTTGCGAAACATTGTTAACGTAAAGTTCACTGCAGCTCATAAATATAGAATAATGTGACCGCGCGTGCCTGTGTTAACAAACGTGTAAATGTTACAACATAAACAAGTCAAGAGAAAAATAATCTCTTAGAAGGTGAAAACTACCCAGATTTTTGATTTTCGATTTTTTGTGATATTCGGTTACCTTAAAATTAAAGCATCTAATACTAGTACTAGAGTTAAATCGAAATATTTTGGAAAAAATTATGTATATTCTTGAAGACGAACTAGTCCTAAAACCTATATTCTTAAGAGGATAGAGGCATTGTTTTAAACCGCAGCTTAGTATTATTAGTAGCTTAGTAGCCCAAGTACATCATACCTAAAATATATAGTGAATTGTGAAAGCCAAACCATATTAGAAGATTATACAATTAAATAAGCGTTTCAAACGATATATGTACCTTAGAAATCTCAATATTCCAAAACAAAATATTGCGGCTTCTATAAACAGGCAGGTTTTATCACTTTTATCTCAGTGTTTATAATTATATATAAAAATGTATCAGTCTAATGTAAATATCTTGAAAAAATTATATCTTGGGACTTTTAAGCTCACATTCCTAGAATGACCTAGATGTAACAGCAAGAAAAACATGTAATAAACTGCCTCGAGATCGTAACTAAAAGTACCTTTGAATAATGTAGTTACTGTTATGTATAGAGTAAGTTCTACTGTTTCAAACTTCTTGTACATTTGTATCGTAATATAGATTTTTAAACCCTAGTTTTTTTTTATTTCAGTATATGTAAACTTGTACTAACAACGTCCAGTAATAATCTCAATATAAATCTAGGAGACCAGCAACCATTGTGGAAGAATTTTTAATGCTGAATAGAAAACAGTCCAGAAAAAGTTATGATATCTTGAGCATGATGTGATATAGCGGGTAGCTTACCTGGTGTTGCCTAGCCTCTTGCTGTTTGAGGTATCGCAGCCGCTGCTCCTTAGCACAGAGCAGCTGGTGCTGTGTGTCTATCTGCTGCTGCTGGCGTAGCGCCATGGCGCGCAGCTCGCCCAACGTCAGCTCCACCCCTTCCCCCAGCTGTAGACAAAAGAGAACATTGCAATAAGTATACGTATGTGGTATGTTACAATATTTTAAAAGCTGATGTTGCCGTTCGTTAACAACACAAAACGTGGTAAATACATGTATTAAGAAAAGAACGGATGAATAAAATGAAATGTACTGAATAGTGGAATGATGATACGAGTATGATGACATGGCTGGCTTAGTGAGGGTTCTCATATTCCAACCAAACATGTTAGGTTTGAATTCTCTGCTGTAAGCAAATGCAATCAATTTTATGCATAACCTATTAACTGAATGTGTTACATAGGCAAGTTGTTCCTTGTTTATGTAACACATAATTATAGGTAATGTTACATATGTAATGGCAATGTTAAGAGGTAATAGGTAATTTAACTTGTTGGTTACAATTGAATAATTGGCAACTCAACGCCACAGATAAAAAAATTACAAAACCTAACGAACATATTTACAGCATACGGTACAGCTTTAATTAAATGAGATATATGTTGACCTATGCATATCTGGTATGCTTTAGGCTCCATTTATACGTAACGTGATGTTATACTTAAACATCGTTAGTCTTTACTTTATCCAATACAAATAGAGTTAGTTAATTCTGACTGATAGTTCTAGTGATTAGCGCGTTGGAACAAACAAGTACTCAAGCAAAAACTCGTTAATCTCATTAAATTAGTATAAATAAATTATATTACTAAAAACAACAGGTAATAAAATATCGCTTAATAGGTTTTTGAAATCTACTGAATAATAGATATTCATTATCGGCTATTATAAAAATTCAAACCGCAACAAACACTCCTACAAACTGAAAGTATAATGAGAATATTATCATGAACCTAATCTTCATAACACCGATTTAATGACACTGGAGGATACGAGAGACTTGGAAAAAAATCCCGACTCCACCCCATCCGTATTTTATTTTCATGAAAAAAAAACATTGTACATTCACCTCAATTCTGCTAAAATGAAAAAGTTTAACAATTTTTCTTCGGGCACACATAATTGAAACTTTGTCGTGCTTTATAGATGAACGTCGAACGACTTTTAGTAAAACGAAGATAGGATTGAGATGTGACTTTTATTTAAAGTATCAGGTACTTCTTTATTCTGTTAAGGTAAATGCTATTAATAGTGTTAGGTTCAGGTTAGGTTAGTGATCCTGAGTGCTCAGCCAGAGGTTGTGTATACCCAGTATAAATATTTGTGTAATAAGCATGATCATTTGTTCTGCATCTGGGTGTAATTTATCTGTTATGTTTAAAAATAAATAAATAAAAATTATTTCTGTATCGCGGGGCTTCTCCACGAACATTCTAACGACGGCCACAGAGAATTCTTAAATATAAAATATATATAACCTCCAGCAGCTATTAAACTTTGCGTGACCCACGTTACACAAATTTTATTCCGTGAAGGAATCGAACTGTTAACACTCAATGCGGTGTTCTGGCGAGGCCTTTAATTATTGCGCCATCCGCCTGTCAAGAGAATTAATACAAGCTAACGTGTAATCACGAAATACAATTAATTTGCACGAACTACTGCGCTCTTACAGCGTGTTGAGCGAACTATGTCCATATGCAAGGTATTTCTATTAACATTCGAACCACACACCAAGCAAATATATCCGATTTATCTGAAACCATTATCTGGTAGGTAATAGATTAGCTCAAGTGTTGCAACCACATAAAACAATCCACACCTACTTAATGGATGAAACATAATAAATATCTTGTTTTTTATTTATTAACAAGATATTTATTATGTTTCATAGTACTGGTATTACCGATAAATAGGCTTTTTCACTGTCAAAAATAGCTTATAAAGAAGAAAACAGCTCAACTTGAACATTTTTATTAACTTTTGCCGACCCCCCCCCCCTCCCTGTTTATGTCGGTTATCGCGGTAATAATAAAATACGTTTAATGGTTCAACCAAACTCACTTTCTCTTACTCTCTCTTCTTATTTATTATATAAGTATGGATAAATCAGCAACTATTTGGATCATATTCAATATCTGAGTCTTACGTAATTTCAAAAGCTTTAAAGCACCACTTTGGTACAAAAATAACTAGATGGGAATAAGAGACGAGATTATACGTATGATACTACGAGAAAGCTTTCAAAAGCGCAAGAGACCACTTTATTGCCGTCAGTAATTGTATTTTTGTGTACACCAGAAATACCCACCCGATTCACGGGTCGGATTTACCAGTAGGTACAGAGTACTAATATATGAGTGTCTTTTAAAGATACCAGTAGGTCAGCGTATGAAGAGGTTTATCCACCCAATGGGCTTGGCCTTTAATGCGGTATTAGCGGCCTGCGATTGTTTGAAATTGTCTTCATAATTTAGTCGAGTCGCCCTTTTCATAACTCAAACTTAATGTGTTGTAGTGGGAAGGCGCGCCGCGAATATCTACTATTTATTATTTTTATCATTGTCTGTTATGAGCACTTAAGTTATACCAGCTTCGTTTCTAAATAATAATGTTTTGCCTAAGGCCATGCTACTGAATGTAGAAAAAAAACAAAAAACTAGATTAGTCTAGAACAATATTTTGATTGTTAGTCGCGTCAAAGACAAGTAAAGACGGTAAATATTAAAATGGACTAATGATAAGTAAAGTTATTATTATTCTATTTTAATATTTACCGCCTTAATAAACTAATAGCTGAATATAATTTAAGTAATGTAATATTTTAGAAACTATACTCCTATACTGACGACTGGATGGCGTAGTGGTTTGTGTAACGGACTACTATTCCGAAGGTCGCGGGTTCAATTCCCGCTCAAGTCAAAAATTTGTGTGAATGAACATTTGATGTTTGATTTGGTCTGGGTGTTTCTATGTATAATATGTATGTATTTACAAAAAAAAGTATATATCTATTTATATCAGTTATCTAGTACCCATAGTACAAGCTGTGCTTAGTTTGGGACTAGATGGCGTTGTGTGTATGTGGTAGAATATATATATATATTATATTATACTCTCATCATTGAGCACTTAAAAATGAAACCTAAAGTAAAAATACATTTTAACAACAGGTAAATATGAATATATTTCTAATAGTACACCATTGAATCGTCCTACAAGCGAAAAAAGACCAGCACCATTATCCAGGTGATAATGGTGATGCGTCTTTTTTTCGTTGTGTGTCAATCTACGGTCTTACTTTTCAAATTCAATCAAAAATCTACTGTGCCCAACATTTTTAGAAAAATTTATTATCTAAAGGTTGTATTGAGACTATCAGATGTATAAATGTTCTTTTTACCTAATATTACTTAGTAATATTATTGAACTAGTCACTAATCTGGGTACCGCCATCATTAATTTAATACTTATTAAACCACGATTAGGTTATGGATAGGCACGAATCGGCAACTTCTTTGTAAAATTAATGTCATTATCTTATTATATATAATAATATATATTAATAAAAATAAGTTTTTAAAAGTTTACAACTTCGTATAGAAATATTTAATTAAACAGAAGTTTTTACGACAATATCTTGGTGGCAAGTTGAGGAAAATTCTTGGATTTAGACCCTTTATCGTCGGAATTAAGGGCGTTTGCGGGCACAATTTATATATCCCGACACTTGTTGATAGCCGACCCTGTCTGAGCTCTGATGTATCGGCGGAAAGATAAATTGTATTTCTGCCAGCCCGTGAATGAGTATAATGACGTTCAACGTTTGTATTGAAATGCGGGATGAATGGGGCCGGATATCGCGTAATAAAAAAAAAGATTATAACTATTAATCTTTAAAACACACTTGAATGAGTAACACAAGGCATTAAAGAACAATATAATAAAAAGAAGATCATCCATTTTGGATATTTATTAGTTCATTGTTCTTTTAATGCGACCGTCAACACATTCGGACGGCCTCAGTGCTGCGCTGCGCTGAGGTCTAGGGCTCTATTCCCGGGGCGGATGTTTTTGTTATCTACAAATATTTGTTTCGGAGTTTGGGGGTTTTCTATGTACAAATAATACAGAAAAAGTACATAAGTATTCTATCAGTCAATCTAGCTTTCTTATTACAATCTCTGCTTATTTTGAAACTAGATGGCGTTGTGTGTCAGATGTCCGAAAATATAAATATATATATATATTATTCAATATAGTAAGTGAAAACTTATTGTAAAGAGCCGTTACGATGCATCATCAATCATCAATCATCAACAGCCTATAATAGTCCACTGCTGGACATAGGCATCTCCTTAGAAAGGAGGTTTTGGCCTACTATACCACCATGGCCAGACGGGTTGGTTTAGGGTTTGTTTCAAGTTTTTCTTCTTTTTGCAGTGCTGTTGCCCTGTGCAGTTTGTTCCCTTAGTCGGCTTTTACAACACCCACAGGATGGTGACATTCCGTATTCTTAATCCGTCACCACACGATGCATAAAGTTATATAATGTGTAGTGACGCTGTAAGTGATGAAGAGGTAAGATAAGATGAAACCAACATCATCATATTAAGTCTTTCTAAGAACTTTGTCTATACGAGTACTACTGGTATATAAAGTTGAAAACCATTTCACCAATAATATTATTACAACAACTTCCATAAGCATGTGTATAATAAGAGACCTTCTTAAATACGCTCAACTTGAATCGTGTTATAACTTTGAAACACCAGGTTATTGTCCATATTCTTATGGTCTGGACTTTGTGTGGTATTTTTTTTTTTTAGTAAAAAGTTCATGTTTAAAAAAAACAATCTAAACAGTAAAATGATAACAGATTTTTAAGCCCCTTTAAAACAGGACGAGGTTGGTTTCCAAGGATTCATGTATTATATAATGTGTAAATTACTGACACTCATATGAACAACATAACGTTGTTCCTTAAAAAATGGGAGCGGCTATAAAAACCCTGTCTCGTGCGGCCTTTTAATTTAATTGCACTTTTATATGCGGCCATATTTTCTCTTCAATGTAAGTTAATATACCAGGGAATTTAAAACGTATCTAGTATATAATAAGCTTTTATATTTTGTACCTAATAATACAACAGAATTTTCCCCAGTCTACATCATGACCGTCTTAGGCTCTGCACCCGTTTTTTCAAAAATAAATATTTATTAAATTAGACCAATTTGCCATGGATATATCATTGAATAAACGAGGCTGAAATCATATTAGACCTGTGGTACAGTACCCAGAATTTACAGAAGGCGAACGTGACTAGGGTTTCAAGAGAAACGTGGTAAGATGAGAATAGGCTAATATAACATATACAAGTATTGTGTGTATTATGAAGTACGCTTGTTTGCTTGCTTACTCATTTATTGGAAAAACATGAATTAATGACTAAGTATTTGCACTGTTAAATGTTTTCAAATATAAATAAAAGTTAACAATTCTTTTCGTATGTAGTTATTCCTTTAGTAGTAATAATAGCTTGCAAATAAGCAGGTCCACTGGTGAACGATGACATCCCAACTAGCTTAAATATAACACTATACTAAGAACTGTTATAAATGCGCCAGTACCTATCTATTAATTTGAAATTAATGAAATAAATATAAAAATACACCACCTATATTTACTTTTAAGATATTATGAATAAAGAATACCTGTCATAAATATCTACCTTCATGAAAAAATACCGGACTTTACAAAAAAATAAACCCCTTTGCTCCACATAAATATTTGCTATTTTATGCTCGTTACTGAAAGGCACGCAAATATAAGTTCATAACATAGAGAATTCGAATTTCGTTTTCCATGTAATATAAGCTAGAATAGTTTAGTACGATATAAACGTAAGTGAATTTCTGTGTCGTGCCATTGTAAAAATGTGGATACGCGGCGTTCACGCCTTCATGCCGATGAATAATTTATAAGAGATGATCACTAATGGTGCCCACCAATCGCTTGTTATTCCAACTTTACATTTGTTATTTTTGGTGACGAACATACTTTGTATTGAAAAGTATTTGAATTTTGGAATAGTATTTTTGTCTTTAATATGGTTTGAAG